ATGGTTCAGTTAATAAAATGCCTCCATTTGGGGATATATGCAAGATATAGTCAGCGGGCTTCCACATTTAGGAAAAACTAGCAACAGTCCCCTATTACATGTCATTGATAGACATTCACCTGACACACCTCTGAAAGATTATAATTATTATATGACATTTTACATTCTCATGTAACTTGTATGCCTCCAACAGAATCTCCCATCTTCAATGAGTTGATCATAATTTATACTAGGCGTTCTTCGTGATATTATTTTTGCGGTTTTTTGCATTCGCTTCCATTTTTTTTTAGAAAAACGTATAAGATAAAAAATATACAAACTGGAAATTGCTTTGCTGCAACCAAAAATGCATTCAAAAAATGAATTTTTTGAGACGGCTTTTGGAAGATTAAAGAACTTTGTAAATAAGTGACAGAACTGGCCCAAATCAAGTTCCCGGCGATTTTCGAGGTCGCTGATCACGATTATGATGTTCAAATTAACCTACAGCCGACATGGAGCTTAGGAACGCTCCGTGGGACTCTCCCAAAATACACGCGGGGAAGGAGAGAAACTCGGCGCCCAGTGAATTTAAATGAGGTATTGGCGAACACCTCCCGGAGACCTGGTGTGCCGGAACCTGGACGTGGATGTCATCTCCAAAAATGTTCCTAACAAGATCGCTAAAAACAACCCGAAAATCATTGAAGGGTCATTTTTTTTTAAAGCATTATCTATTTTCACGTCGAAATCGATCCCTCAAACACCTAGTAGACCGGAATCTGGCCCTAAACGTCGTCTCCGAGAGTTTTCCTTACACAATCAAAGAAGGCGAACCCAAAATCAGTATGGGTGTTTTTTGGGGCGCTGAATCTAAATTTCACGTTGAAAATGACCCTCCCAATACCTGGTGCACCGAAACCTCGGGCTGAACGTCGTCTCCGAGGGTTTTCCAGACACGATCGAAAAAGACTAACCCAAAATCATCTCATAATTTCACACATTCATTGATGTGTAACTCTCGCCTGGAGCCCTCGAAAAAGTTGAACCAGTCCTGTAAAATTCTAAATGCCGGGTTTGAATATAGAGAAGAGAATTGCGAGAGTAATCTCCAGCTAGATCTCTAAACTTTGTCGAGCGGCCTTTCACTTTTCTCCCAACGCTGTGTAAGTATACACAGAAACTACCTCCTAAGTCCAGGCCCCGCCCACCAACGTCCAAGTTCGGGCGCACCAGGTATTCGGAAGGTGTTCGACGATGCCACATTTGAATTCAGCGACCCAAACAACTCCCGAGCGCTGAGTTTCTCTTCTTCCCAGCGTGATTTTTGCGAGGGTCCCACAAAGATGACGTTCAGGGCCAGGTTCCGGTGCACCAGGTGTTGGATGGATCGTTTTCGACGTGATATTTGGATTCAGCACCCCAAAAAACGCCCCCACAATGATTTTCGGGTTGTTTTTGGCGAGCGTGTCAGGAAAATTCTCAGGGATGACATCCACGTCCAGGTTCCGGGACACCACGTGTCCGGGGGGTATTCGCCGATGCAATATTTAAACCCAAAAACCCCTGGGCGCAAAGATTATCTCCTTCCCCGCGTGAATTTCGGGATAGTCCCACGGAGATGACGTTCATCGGCGTTCCTGAGCTCCAGGTTGGCTGTGGGTCAATTTGAACATCATAATCGTGATCAGCGACCTCCAAACCTCTCGGTAACTTGATTTGGGCCAGTTCTGACAGTTTAAAAAAAAATGCCTTTTTTGAATGCATTTATGACTGCAGCACTGCAATTTCCGCTTTAAATAAGATAACAAGTATGGTCGTTTTTTACCAAAAAATTTTTTAAGATAACTCCTTTGGGAGTGCTCTTTGCAATGCCTACGAATAGTTCTGGTCCTATTATCACAGATTCGGTTCCTCTTTTAGCGAGCGCGTTGGCTTTTACGTTGCCCTCCAGATCAAAGTAACCTTTTTCCGGGAACCGAGACATTCGAGGGTATTTATACAGTTCCAAACCAGCTTTGAGTTAACTTGATTTGAGCTAAGGGCCTTAAGGGCTGTCTGGCTATCTGAAAAGAATTCTATAGCAATCATTTCTGCTTAGAAAATCGTGGCCAGAGAGCCTAAGTTTATTGATATGTCAACTCTAGGCCTCTGGCCGAAAACTCCCGCTCCTACTCCTTTTTCAATTTTGGAGCCATCCGTGTACAACGCAACAGTCTGCCTGGAAAAGTGTTTTTTCCCCTCTAGTCCATGTGTCTCTCTCTGGAATGAGGACGCTATATGACTTTTCTATGTGCTGTCGGGGAACTAGAGAGTCTGAAATCATTCCGAGAATGTTGTGGTTATTAATTTCACTCATCAGTCCCGTCTTGTCCCATCGCAGTTCTTCGTAGCATTGACTACCCACCTTTAGGAGTCTGTAGAAGACCACCCTGGCCTCCCTTTCAAGCAGAATGTAGAGAGAGGTTAGGTATAGCATAATCTACATGGCTCCTGTAGGTGTGGTTGACATTGCTTCAGTTATGGCGAGGCACGCAAACAGCTGAATTCCAGCCAATTTTGCTCTGGCCGTCCGTTAGAGTCCCTTTTCCCACTAGACGACAGAGACGGACGTAACCATGGGTTTTACCACTGTTTGGTAAATCCAGTAAATTCGTTGAGAACTGATCCCCATGCTTTGCCGCATATCCTTTTAAGGGTCTATAGGGATAGTCTGGCTTTGTAAAACCAATCGGGGGTTCCAGGTGAGTTTCTACTCTAGGGTGATCCCCAGATATTTCACCTCCTCCGCAAAAGGAATGGTTTCCCCAGCCAAGGTAGGCTGTCAAAGCTTGTTGAGCTTCCTTCTGTTGGTAAAAGGGACGATAACAGTTTTGCGGAGGTTAACAGACATCTGCCTCCTCTCGCATCATCTGTTAATCGTATTAAGGGCTTGTTGAAGGATGTTGGAGATCAGATCTTCGAACTTTCCCCTAATTATGATAACCAGATTGTCCGCATAGCATTGGAAATCCACTCCCTGTCGGGAGAGATCGATTAGCAGGTTATCCACCAGAACGGTCCACAGTAGGGGTGAAAGTGCGCCGCCTTGTGGACATCCTTTGGCAGGCCTGAAAGTGACCGTCTCTCCCTGCAGTGATGAAGTGATGTTCCGGTTTACCAGCCTGCTTTTCATCCAATTACAAGGCTATTAAATAGGCCAATGTAGCAATAAAAAAAAGATAAAGGGTAGGCAAGAAAATAGTCGTGAATAGTTTAGAAAGAGTGCAGGAGTAAAAAGACAAGGAGACAAAAGGAAGTAGAGCAAATAGGTACTGAAAAAGGCAAAGGAGGGGTAATCAGATAGGACGACAGGATTAGAAAAAGTGTAGAAACTGATTGACGGGAAGACACAAGATGAATCTATACAAATAAATAAATCATCTTTGTTTTCTACATTTCTATTTTTATTAATATATTTTTGAATCTTAAAAAATAAAAGTTTTTGTTAATGATTGTGCCTGCCTCTCAAAAGAGCAGTATCATTCATATTTTGTGGTACGAGTATATTAGTTTCAAACAAAAAAGGACTAAACCCCATAAAATTAATAATATTTAATTCAAAATTTTTGATGTGTCATTTACATCTATATTAATGCATCTATCTTATGACATTCTGTACATATATGACACGGTAAATCTTTCTTTTCATAAATAATCTATTTTGTTCAATACTATTCCATTTCAATTTTCATTTATTTTGTAATAACAATAATAATAATTTGTTTTTTATTATTCCGTATTATTTGTAGGTACTTAAGTACTTTCTAAAGTTTAATACATATTGTTTCACCTTTAACGCTTCTACATAAAGTCGTTGAACGTCATAAATGGTCATGGACCGAACCAGCATAATTTCTATACAATTGACTTAAATTATCATTTTCTCTTTTTCATCAGGCAAGTCAAGTGGAAGTCTAATAATTGTGGTTTTGTGACGTATCTAAAAATGGCAGAGATTGCCCTTCAGGGTTAGTAATCCGCTTCATCCAAAAATGCAAGAAGGAGCTAATATTATGCAATATGGCAGGGGTTCTCAACCAGTTGATCGCGACCACCAGGGGGGTCGCGGGACGTGTCTGAGGGGGTCGCGAGGGAAGGTGATAAATAAAAATAATTGGCATTCAGCCCACAGATACCATTACGAGCGGCGGATAATAAATGAAGTAACCATGTATTTATTTAGAACCTGAGTTGAGTCCGCTTGTTTAAAATCAATTGTAACAATGCAATACAACTTTAAAACACAACTATGATTAACAAAAAGGAACAAGTGGAGCTATAAATATAAATATAGGCCTTATTGTTGTAAGACAAAAGTTGTTTACTCAGAAAAACACACTACACAAAATACATTGCGAAATTGCAAAAAAATACTCCAGCAGAATGATTTATTGAGAAACTTGAGCTTGCTTAGAATTAACTAATTGTTGAATATCTGGGTTGATTTTTGTCAAACATAAAATAATATAATTTACCAGTGCCAAACGATTTCTTGATTTTGTTTTTAAATTTACCATTGCAGAAAATCTTTTTTCATATTTATCGTAAGAAGTAGAGAAAGGTGTCAATAGCTTAAACGCTACTTTAGTCAATTCTGGGTGTTCCTACCTTATACTTAGCCAAAACTTGTCGGAAAAAAACATTTTTGAATAGCTTTTTTAGAAAAAGGTTTTGTTATCCACATAGATACACTTGTATCTTCAACAGGAATATAAACATTCAATTGCTTTATTAAGCCTTCAAGATGTGATGATACGAGTAATGAGAAAGACGATGTATTAATGGATGTGTCACCAACACTTGAGATATACTTTTTAAATTCCTATGTAAGTTGAACATTTTCAAAGTCTTTATTCTTTATTCTTGTGTTCCAATGAGTAAGTTTTCTTATAAATGCATTAACTCGATCTTGAGCATACAGAATAGTTGTATCTGATCCTTGTAGAGATTCAAAATATTGAGATGAGAAAAAATATCAGCTAAGTAAACTTTATCAACCATTTTTCATCGCTGAAGAAACAAGAAAGTTCGGGTTTACTATCCATTAAAAAAAGGAACAGTTCTGATTTCAATGAAAACAGCCTACTCAACACGTTGTTCCGGGACAGCCATCTCACTTCGGTGTGGAATAGCAAATGTTTGTGCAGGAGTCCTACCTCTTCACACAAGTCTTCAAGTATTCTACTCTGCAATGGGCGACTCTTGATGTAATTAACAACTTTGATAGCTTCAGCCAAGACGCAAGTCATCTGGCATTTCTTTAGCTGCCAAAGATTGTCTATGTAAAAAACAATGCACCCAGTTGGCATTTGGCATTAAAGTTTTTAACCTGGCAATCAAACCACTGTTTATTCCCGAAAATGCTTTTGGTTCATCACAACAAATTGAAACATATTTGTTCCAATCAATTTCAAAATGTTCAAAAAGTTGCTTCAATGAACACTTCAAAAAAACTTTAACCTGTGGCTTGGTCTGGCAAAGATTTTCAAAATAATACATTTTCGTTAATAAAATGATCGCAATCATACCTAATAAAGCACAAGTACTAAGCACGGTTAGCAACGTCAGTTGATTCGTCACATTGAATCGAAAAAAACGTGCTTTCTTTTATTTGCATCTTTAGTTGGTACTGAAAATTTTTAAACATGTCTGATATTCGTCGTGACATAGAGTCATTTGATAGTGGAATTTTTTTCAGCTTGTCAGCTTCTTGAGGATTAATCATATTTGAAACTATATCGACAGGAAGAGTTAATTCCTCAGCAATGGTATGTGGCTTCCCCACTATAGCAATCTTAAGTGCTACCTCGTACAAAGGTTTAAGAGCATTTTTGCTAACATCAGCAAGACATTTAATATTTACCTGTTGACTTCGAAGGGACAGCAGTTTTCTCTGGAAAAACTCGACTGGTTTGTTTTTCAGAGCCAAATGTTTAGTTTCAAAATGACGCTTCATTTTTAAAGGTTTTATGCTTTCAGCTAATAACACTTCACTACAAATAACACACTGAGGTTTGTTTTTAAATTCAGTAAAACCAAACTGTAAATATGTTTTATCATACTTTTGGCATTTTGGTTTTGATACTTCGGAATTCTTACTAATTTTGCTACATGAAGAATTTTTTTCAAAAGCTTATCCATTAATATCACTAAAACACGAATGTTTACTTTGAAGATCAAAGTATGCACTATTACTCAAGACGTCAGGCAGTCGACTGGCAGCTATCTTGCTTGTCGGAGGATGAGTCGCGCAGCTCCATGTCAAGTTATGTCTCAGCGGCTATAAATACACCACGCGTCAGGTCAGTAAATACACCACGCGGAGTCTTTGCCTGCTTTGATATTGAAACGTCTTGTTAATAAAGTTTTGAATAGTGGTGGTTTTTTTTACTATTGTAACATGTTTTTTATACTATGGTAACATGTTTTATAACAATTAATTATTGCGGTCTTTTTGTGTACGAAAGCCTACTTTACGATGTTACTAGAAGGGGGTCGCCACCAAAATTCTCAACTTAGAAGAGGGTCGCAGCGTTGAAAAGGTTGAGAACCCCAACAATAAGGAATTAAAGTATATAAATAAAGTATATAAAAATAGTACAACGCAGAAAATTTAAACGAATTTCTATTATTCATAAAAATATATTTAATTTTTTTAAATATTCTAAAAAATGTAGAAAGAATATTTATTAAAAATTTAAAAGGGAACTAATATAATTTCCAATGTCTCTGATAGTTGCAAGGATTGCGAAATCTGTAAAATATTAATTTTGTTTACAATTTAAATTTTTTCCACAAGTTTTTAAAAAAAAATGCTTGAAATGTTCCAGTAATGTGAATCTAGGGGTAATAAAACTTGCGGTAGTCACATAATCCTGAATATCCCTAATAAATCCTTTGTATATTAAAACAAACAGCACGGCTCTCGTACTATCATGATATATAAAGAAGCAGTTAGCATATGGAGATGCAAAAAGCCGATATAAACAATAGGATCGTTTTCCGCATCCTAAGCGGGTTACAGTTAAACGAGCTCAGAGCTCAGATTGCAAACTTGTCCTTGCCCATGATAAGGAGCGACCGAAGAAATGAAAAGAAAGAGGAAAAAGAAGTGGAAAAGTGAGATCTATCGCAAATCTTCGTGGTGGCTTTGAATGGGTGACACGTCGTCTAAAAATAGAAATAACAACACATTATTTTATTCGTTGGGCATGGAATGGGACATAGGACGGGAATTTAAATAATACGATAGCGTTGTTGGCAGCGGAATTTCAAAAGTGATGCTTCGGCCTTGGTAGGATTCGAACAATGTATAAACTAGACTGGTCTATGTATATTTCGAGTTTTATCCATTCATTTTGAATTAAGGTGTAATGGTGTGAAGTTTTTACCCTTAGAGGATATAAGGCAAAACTACAGCTCTAATTTGAATGTTTTATTTTTATGTAATCTTTTAAAACTCGACGTGTAGTTTCCCAAAATGTAATACATCCAAACTACATAAAAAAATTTGAAAAACGATTAACGATTTTACAATATTTATGTATATCTTTCTATAGAGCTCCTAGAGAGAAATTTAACGTCGCCAGCAGCATCTTCCTAACTCTTAATATACAATTTTGTTTTTAAATGAAAGAAAGTGAAGTGAGAAAAATCGGTTGAGATCCAAAAAACTGAAATGCAATTTTAAAAATATAAAAATGAATAATCCCCTATTACCTCTACAAAATTATGAAAACTAAACCTCCCATATTCCCAAAGTGGGAAATTGATGGTTATTCATATTTCATATTTCCAAAATTGTATTTTGTTTTTCTTTCATATAGCACATGGCATAAAGTTCGTAGAAAAAGTATAGTGGTTAACATTTCGAAAATAATTTTTTCGTCACTATAAATGAAATATACTGTTTTTCTCTATCTAATAGTCCCTCATCTGACTACAAAATTGTGTTTTTTGATTGCTATTTGTAGTTGGTTATAGGGGAGAGGGTGAACAACATGTTCTATATCCCGGTGGTGGGAACTATTTTTGTTTTTTTTTTCCGAATGAAATATGTTTCTAAACGTCTGTAATAATAAAAACATTCCTTTGCAAGCATTTTATGTCGTCTGTTTTTGTTTCTTTCAGATATTTACGTTTTTCAATGGAATTCAGGATATAGCTTCAACGCATTTTTTCTGAATTTAAGATAATATTGCCATCATTTTTTGTGTCGGCGGAAGACTTGCAAAAAAAATTTAACCTGGCTAAAAGTGATTTTTTTTAAAATAGGTGTAAAATCGAAACCAAAAGTTGAAAGGTAGTTCAGTTGCTCTCAAAATGTTTTTTGAAATGCTGCCATCATAAACCAAACCACCGTAACTCACAAATTACAAATCTTTGAGGTTATTTGATCACTCTGATACTAATGCTTTTTTCTTTTTAAAAAGTAAACAAAATCTTCATAATATTTATTCTCTATTTAACAGCATTATTCAAAAATTGTCTTTAATTCACCGAACAAAATGCTGGTACTAATAAATTTATTTTGTTGTAAATATCTTAATTGAATAGTTTGCTTAGTTACTGGGGTTTTGCTTATGACGGCAGAATAACTGTAAAATCGAAACCAAAAGTCAAAAACTGGTTTAATTGCTCTCAAAATATTTGTGAAACTTTCAAATAAGAGTATTGCTTATACAAACATTTCCATTCAGTAGTTCTATCATAAACAGCCTTTTTTAAATTTTGTTCCTGTAATATAAATTGCTATTTTGAAATTATTCTCGAAAACCCGGGGTGAATCCATAAAGAATGGAGTAATAATTTAGTAATAATTTAGTAATAATTTAGTAATAATTTAGTAATAATTTAGTAATAATTTAGTAATAATTTAGTAATAATTTAGTAATAATTTAGTAATAATTTAGTAATAATTTAGTAATAATTTAGTAATAATTTAGTAATAATTTAGTAATAATTTAGTAATAATTTAGTAATAATTTAGTAATAATTTAGTAATAATTTAGTAATAATTTAGTAATAATTTAGTAATAATTTAGTAATAATTTAGTAATAATTTAGTAATAATTTAGTAATAATTTAGTAATAATTTAGTAATAATTTAGTAATAATTTAGTAATAATTTAGTAATAATTTAGTAATAATTTAGTAATAATTTAGTAATTAGTAATAATTTAGTAATAATTTAGTAATAATTTAGTAATAATTTAGTAATAATTTAGTAATAATTTAGTAATAATTTAGTAATAATTTAGTAATAATTTAGTAATAATTTAGTAATAATTTAGTAATAATTTAGTAATAATTTAGTAATAATTTAGTAATAATTTAGTAATAATTTAGTAATAATTTAGTAATAATTTAGTAATAATTTAGTAATAATTTAGTAATAATTTAGTAATAATTTAGTAATAATTTAGTAATAATTTAGTAATAATTTAGTAATAATTTAGTAATAATTTAGTAATAATTTAGTAATAATTTAGTAATAATTTAGTAATAATTTAGTAATAATTTAGTAATAATTTAGTAATAATTTAGTAATAATTTAGTAATAATTTAGTAATAATTTAGTAATAATTTAGTAATAATTTAGTAATAATTTAGTAATAATTTAGTAATAATTTAGTAATAATTTAGTAATAATTTAGTAATAATTTAGTAATAATTTAGTAATAATTTAGTAATAATTTAGTAATAATTTAGTAATAATTTAGTAATAATTTAGTAATAATTTAGTAATAATTTAGTAATAATTTAGTAATAATTTAGTAATAATTTAGTAATAATTTAGTAATAATTTAGTAATAATTTAGTAATAATTTAGTAATAATTTAGTAATAATTTAGTAATAATTTAGTAATAATTTAGTAATAATTTAGTAATAATTTAGTAATAATTTAGTAATAATTTAGTAATAATTTAGTAATAATTTAGTAATAATTTAGTAATAATTTAGTAATAATTTAGTAATAATTTAGTAATAATTTAGTAATTACTTGGCAATAAATTAGTAAATTTTAAGTAATAATGTTATAAAACAATGATAATAATATGTTAATAAATTTCAAATCATTTTAAATCATTTTTAGATAACTTGGAAATAATTTGAAAATAATTTAAAAATAATTTGGAAATAATTTGGAAATAATTTGGAAATAATTTGGAAATAATTTGGAAATAATTTGGAAATAATTTGGAAATAATTTGGAAATAATTTGGAAATAATTTGGAAATAATTTGGAAATAATTTGGAAATAATTTGGAAATAATTTGGAAATAATTTGGAAATAATTTGGAAATAATTTGGAAATAATTTGGAAATAATTTGGAAATAATTTGGAAATAATTTGGAAATAATTTGGAAATAATTTGGAAATAATTTGGAAATAATTTGGAAATAATTTGGAAATAATTTGGAAATAATTTGGAAATAATTTGGAAATAATTTGGAAATAATTTGGAAATAATTTGGAAATAATTTGGAAATAATTTGGAAATAATTTGGAAATAATTTGGAAATAATTTGGAAATAATTTAGGAAATAATTTGGAAATAATTTGGAAATAATTTGGAAATAATTTGGAAATAATTTGGAAATAATTTGGAAATAATTTGGAAATAATTTGGAAATAAGTTGGAAATAATTTGGAAATAATTTGGAAATAATTTGGAAATAATTTGGAAATAATTTGGAAATAATTTGGAAATAATTTGGAAATAATTTGGAAATAATTTGGAAATAATTTGGAAATAATTTGGAAATAATTTGGAAATAATTTGGAAATAATTTGGAAATAATTTGGAAATAATTTGGAAATAATTTGGAAATAATTTGGAAATAATTTGGAAATAATTTGGAATTAATTTGGAAATAATTTGGAAATAATTTGGAAATAATTTGGAAATAATTTGGAAATAATTTGGAAATAATTTGGAAATAATTTGGAA